TCACTTGCCAATGAAAATGTCAAGAGAACTACCAGAAATACTAGTAGAACACATGATAAGAAACCCAAAAAAAATGTCGAGAAGAAGAATGGTCATACAGGGGCCCATGGTGGTATTAGCTCTACAATCGTGCTTTTAAGTGACGAATTGCAAGATTTCCTAAAAGTCGAATCAGTAACGAGAACACAGGCTGTTAAGAGAGTTTGGGAGTATATCAAATTAAACAACCTCCAAAATCCAAACGATAGGAGAGAAATCCTATGTGACTCGCTTATGGAACCTATCTTTGGCAAAAAGGTTACAATGTTCACTCTTAATAAAATATTAGCAAGAAACATGTATAACCAAAATGATGTTATAAAACCTAAGCCAGTAGAGAAAAGAAAACGGGATTTGGGTAGAGAAGAAACGACTAGAAGAAGAACCAGAAGAAGAACCAGGTCTTATAGTATGTCCTAACACTATTCCATTTGATAGAAATATCAACTTTAACAATGCATTAATCTAATTCTAATAATGATTCCGATATTTAGCTATATACAGCAATTAATTTTATAAATTTTAATGAATAACGAATATAAATCTATTGTATTTTTATTTTTCTAATGTTTACTTCATTGTTTCAAATGACTAGAATATAAAACTACTAATCCAATTAATACATTCTATCAATCTTTTTGTCGTCAGATCATTTGGCATCTTATAAATGATCTTTCTCCGTACTAACCAAGATATCTGATGAGATACATAGTGCGAAGCAACGGCCGTGAAACAAATTCAATTAAACATTTGATTTAGATCAAAATCCTACGAAGGCCTTGAAACTTTGGGATATCAATATACTGATGATTAAAATATTACTTTTTAATTAAGTACTTTTGCTGTATGATATCCCATTAGTTATCGTAGTTGTATGTATTGTATGATATTGAACTCTATTTTAAGTTTGTTTTAGTCATTTATAACAAGATTTAAATCCTTTGAAATAAAGACCATATCAGTTTTGGTAGACATTTTGAGTCTCTGTAATGAACAGGGTACCTCCTCCAAGTTCATCTGCTGCCTCTTCACGATCAGTTTCAACTAGTACGTTTAGTAGTGGGGATACATCACTTTCCATAGATGAGCTTTATACACCAAGGGTTGACCAAAATGAAACTTATCAATATGTATTGAAAATATTGATATTAGAATATATAAATGAACCAAGATTCAGAATTATAGGCAATCAGGTAAGAAATTTATTGCAAGAAGATGCGATTGGTAATGGCAATAACAATAGTATTGCTTCGGAACAAGCTATATTACAGGTAACAGCCGTGTCATTAGAAACATACCTTATGAATGTGACCATGAACAAGATTAAAGTCTCAGATGTATCCTTTAGACGATCTCTATTAAAGTTTTACAATGATATGTATTTGAATCCTTCTACTTCAAATGTTATAAAAGATATGAACAGATTTGAAGAATTATTCATATATTTCACAAAAATTGCTAATAACGAAATCAATAAAATTAATCAAATTCAGAATAATAATGTACAAGAAGAGTTATACAAGCAAATTCAGTTGTTTGTGAATTTAATAATTTTACTGTTACCCAGTAATATTGATAATAGCTTTAAAGAAAAATTAAATCAACTTAAGGAAGTACTAAATCCTACTGGCACTTCTTCACGTCAGAATCGTTATTCTATTGATTTAAGTTCGAATGTAAACAAAAATGCTAATGCTGATAAAGTGCGAACACCAACATTTAGGATAGAAGAAATAACACATTGTTCTTATTTAATGGAAATATTTAATATTCCAGCAATCAAATTTCAACAAGATATCATTAAAGTTATGAATGAATGTAAAAACGAGATATATATAACTGAATTAGAACATATTCACCAAAATATTTTACGTGATAATGGATCTTTAATTAAAGAGGATTTTCAAGATGAAGACTCTTATTATAACTGGAAAAATTTCGAATTACATGAAATAAAAAAACTATCAGAAAAATTTGAAATGAAAACAAATCCTGGAAATAACCATCAACTTAGCGCTAATACATTAATTCCAACCAATGCTGAAGATTTATATGTTTCTCTAGTTTCTCTGGTTCTCGAAAGAGAACTGTCAAGAAATCAAGTTAAGTTAGAAATTTCAAAAGATGCTGCATTTTTTATCTTTAAAATTGTCAAATACTGGAGACTTGATTTTCCAACTACTATGAGTTCCTTAATTTACTCTGCAGCCAATTTTAAGGTGCTGAAAGGAAACTTAATAAATTCTTCAATGATTGATCAAGTTTTTACTGTAATTTATAACAGGATTTTATATGATGAAAGATTTAAAAATAGTAACACATGGAATATTCGCGATAAAAGAAGATGGCTTTCTAATCTTTTATATACATCAAATCAGTGCATCAATTCTATTTGTACTTTATTGTCCAATCTGTTTGATGAAAAAAAGCCAAGGTTTTCCGACATACTGTCATTTTATTATTCTTTTATTGAAGGAGATCCTTCATATCTTCAGTATAAAAAAAACGATAATAATATGCTTAACCAATGGTGTAAAAAATTTAGAAGAGTAATCTTTAAAGCCACGGAGAATTATTATATTTCTTTAATTGATACCATACCAAGAGATAAATCTATACAAATTGAAAATATACAAGATATTGCTGAACAAATTTTACTTCAATTACAGGCCTTGCAAAAAAAATATAAGAAGCCATTATTTGATAAAGTAAATATTCCTATTGAGATTTCCAATTTTCTTATAGAGGCTGTGATTTCCGACATTCCTACTATAATTGAACGGATTAAAAAATATCGACATGATACAGCCCCATCAAATGCCTTAAGTACATATATGATATTGAGCGAATTACGTTTTGTTTATTATCAAACACAGCCTAACAAATCATTTCCATTATCTTTGGAGAAGCTTTTCATCAAATACTTATTATCATTGTGTAATAATACAAGTGAAAAGATTACTGAAGTTGTGCAAACTTCTTTATCTAACGAAGAATGGGTTAAAATTAATGATACTACACCATATAGTTCCTCAGTTCTTGACATTTTCAAAATGTTAAATGAATCACTTTCGATTTTCATCAACTTGAATTGGGAAAACAAATATCAAATTGCCAAAATAATCACTTTCTTATTAAAGTCATTTTCCGATAGCATTCATTTATATTCTATGACATTACTCCAAGTTATAGATTCTGATTTATCAAGAGATGTTGAAGATTATGAATTCAGGAATTTAGAATTGAAGGAATCCATCACCTTGTGTAAAATTAACGCTGAAAAAAAACAGAAGACCTGGTTTTTCAGTGAAATGAAAAAGGCTTTAATCTCAGGCACCATTGAAATTCCAAGACCATATGAATACACACGCAGGACATGTGTAATTCTTAATAACTTGGATGCGATGATTTCAAAAGTTAATGATTTAGGTGAACAGTTTAAAGCGGAAGAGATTTCAGCAACTGTACATAAATTTGAGAAAGAAAAGAAACTTGCTGAATCTCAGAATAAAGTACATGATATGCATTTAATATATTCATTAAGAGTAGTTGCCGCTGAAAATTTAAAACCATTAAAAATGAATGAAATTCCAGACGTTTTTGTTTCAATTGTCAATACAGATGAATCTAAGGAAATATCAAAAACCAATATAATTTCTAAAACATATAATCCTGTATGGGATGAAGAATTTGAACTGGAAGAAATCAAAGGTAATACATGTTTGCTTTCCTTTAATATTTGGCAAAATTATTCATCTCAAAAATTAAGAAGATCAGAAAAATATGAATTATGTGGAAAAGCAACCCTTCTTTTAGATTCAAAAAAATTCAAAGATGACGGTTTACCAAGTGATATTATACTAGATTTAGATACGCAAGGTAAGCTATTTTTGCAAGTATCATTAGAAAATGAACAATTGGATGCATTATTTTGTATTGGGAGAGCATATAGAACTTTTACAAGGGCTCGAGATAGAGCAATAAAGCAAATTGTTCACAAGTTTTCTGATTTTATAACATTTACATTCTCTCGCGAGACATTAAAAAATGTTGTTTTAAGAGCCAAAGGTTCAAAATCGAAAGATTGTTACTATGATCCTTTAATTCCATTATTTGACTATTTGAATGCCAATTTGAATATACTAGCTTCAGAGTTGACACAGGAATTACTGTTCAAAATCATCATAAATGCATGGATAAAGACCTTACATGTAGTTGACTCTTTATTGCTTCCTTCTTTATCAGTTGTAAAACATAAAAAGCATGTGGCCAATAATGGTAAGAAATCGATTTGGGATGATGCCAAAAATCTCAGTTTAGGAACTAATGATCAAATCCCATCATTTGGTAGACCGCTAACACAATTTGAAGTTGAATTGATATTTATGTGGATTGAAACATTATGTGTTGATTTTTTCCACAATGGTGGAGAAGGCCCTCCATTAGTTGAGTTAAAGAATGGTTATTATCAAAAGATAATGCTAATTCCAGCATTTTATGATAAATCAATTTTAGAATTGAAAAGAGAGATAGAAAGGATGACTCCGATGTACATGGACTATTTAAACAAACAATACTCAGTTATATCCAAAAATGAATATACTACAAATAGACTGAAATCTATTGCAAGACAAAAGACGATTATGGCAAATTCCTCTAAAGTAAAGAGAAAAGAAATAGCAGATGTAATTAAAAAGGAATCAGAAGACCCCCTTGAAAGGATGTCAGAGACGTTTGATATCATTTTACGATGTTTGATAGCTAAAGGTGAAATACAATACGTTCAAACTCAATTGAAGCATAGAGCAGAAGTTAAAAAACAACTTGCTACAGAAAGTCTAGTTGCAGCTGCTGTACGTGGTGAGAAATTAAGATAAATTTGATATTTATCTTAATTAAATAGTTGTACATAGATAGGTAATAAGGCTGTTAAGTGTTCTCGTTAAAAAGGGCATAAAACACTTTAATGTATACCAATAAATAGTTCTGCCTATTAGATATATGTTTGTCATGAATAAATGAAGAGAAACATAGTTTAAATATGGGAAATAAAAGGACTAGTTTTGGTTTAAAAACTTTAATTAGAAAGTATATATTTATATATTGTATGCAATATTTAACATAAAACAAATGTTAACGGTTGAGAAAACTGGTAGTAATATTAACAGGGAAGAAAAGAGAGGGGAAAAGAGAGAAAAAGGAAGAAAGGGAAGGAGTGTGTACGATGCTATGAAGTTAATTCACTTCAAACAACGCTACCTACCACCTATGCAAAAATAATTTACAGAAATTATCGTCTTCTAAAGATAGATAAAGCTGGATCCTCATCATTACAAGCCTTCTTAATCAAATCAAAGATCCCATTATTATCAGTCTCCAAAGTATAAATACCATATAAACCAACAGCTGTTCCACCCAGTAAAAGATAATTTGCTAAATTATGCCATACACCAAATTTTCTCTTTGGGATATAATCTATAATACAACTCTTGAATTCATACTGCAAATAAAACAAAGCTGACGTTGCAAGAGCACCGTCCACTAGGGGGTGGAGTTCACCACCAGTTGCAGCTGCATATATAGCATAAGAAGTTAAAGGCAAAACTGTAGCAGCAGTAACACGCTCATAAGACCAATGGTAAGACCCATGAAACATATTCGACTCAGGAGGTTTAAAAGACTCATTGACATCACCTGTAACACCACCAGGAGGAGAAGGAATAATCTTTAACTTGTCAAATGCTTTCTTAAAAGATATAGATCGTTGCTGTTGCTGTTGTGAAATAAGCAATGACATCTTCATAAAATTCCCATTGTAACATCTTAGCCCACTAAGACCAACTCGAAACCCAGAGGATAACATATTCACTCGAAATAAGATAATTTTAATCACACAGAGATCTCACAATTCTAATCCCCTGACAATTCAGAACCAAGTAAAACAAGAAATATCCAAAAAATCATCAATGCCTCTTATTATACCTTTCAAGTTTTGAACTTCGAACTGGATCAAATAATTTTTCAATATCTATTCGATATCGTCCTTAAAAGGTGTCAGAAATGCGGATGCGACAGGAAATGGAACTATATAAAAGGGACAACCAATACAAAAATAACAACGACACAAATTAACTGTCACCATTGGAGTTAATGAATTGAATGAAGAAATAAGAGTTGGTGGCAGTTAATTACTTTGGTATATTTTTTTAAGGTTGATATTTGAAGTTGTAATCTAGTTCTTTATTTATTGGTGTGCTAGACGATAGGATATACATTTTGAGAGAACGAGAGGATGCCTTTAGTTGATACTATAGAGACCTTTTTTGTTGGACAGAGTTCAACGTTTGGAGAGTGGACTCCTAAGGATTGGGTTTATGTTGGTGCACGAATCTTGATTTTGTTGAATTATTTTATTTGGGATACAGTTGTTTATTTTGAAGTTAAGTTATTGCGGTTACTCTGTTATGGGAACTTCCATAGGAGAGCGATTGAGATCAATGGGAAAATTTGGGATAATGTTCCTATCTTGGGAAATAAGGCTAGGAAGGTTTTGCCTTATATTTTATATTTTATTGACAAATACCTTTTACCGTTTCTGGAGAGAATTTCAAATTTGATTCGACTTTATTATCAATATCATATCGTTGAGATGACGATTAAAAATAAAAAGAACTTGAAGATATTTGTTACTGGAGACAGTGAAACGTTAGAGTTGTTTGATGAAGGAGGTCAGATGACAACATTACTGTTGTCAAACCATAGATCTTTGAACGATTTTGCGTTGATAAGCTATCTAGTTCAAAATACACATATTGTGAAATTGAATAGAAGAAGATTCCTTAATAATTTGAGAATGATAGATAAGATGAACTTCCCAAGGGTTAATTTTATTAGTTGGGGGAAGATATTCAATTCCCCAGATGTTTCATTACTTAAAAGTATATTGATTAATGATGAGAATATTACTATTACTAATAGAAATATCAAGGAACATTTGGTTAAAAATGGGAATCAGGTATTAGTTTTATTCCCAGAGGTTAATATTTTAACTACCGAACTCTCAATTGTTCAAAGAAAATTAAACCAAGAATATACTTTTGTTGCTAAATTTTACAATGTACTGTATCCGAGATTCAAGAACTTTGTCGAAACAATTGCTTGTTTTGCTAATATTAATAACGTCAAGAGGCAATCTCAAAATAATATAATATTGGAAGGTAAAACATTTATTCATAATAAAATGGAAAAATTTGTTACAAAAATAAGTTCTTCAAGTAAAGCAACGGATGTAGTAAATGAAGAAGTATTGAAAAAAAATCAAGTCGTGCTGGGTCTATCTACTTTACTAAAGACACAATTAATGAAAGATTCAAAAGATGAGACACTACCTTTTGCAAACGATAGCGAAAATGAAGGAGGAGAAAAGGAAATCAACTCAGAATTGCTGAAACATATCAAAATTAACAAGAATCTTTATGATCTAACTATAATATATTACAAACCAAAATATACAGATAAGGCACATGACCATGTGAATGGAAATTTGAAGTTGCACGAAGGATACCAATTGGAACAAATCGACCCTTCAATATTAGAAATGTTGAAACCAGAAAGTAAAAGTTCTTTGTTATCACCTATTGTTATAATGATTCATATTAATCGTCACGATATTACAGAACTATTGCCAGTTAGAAATCATGCCCTTGAGAAATGGCTTGAAGATCAATGGAGAGCCAAGGATAAATTAATAGATTCTATAGATAGTGGGATTAAAGTTACATAATTTAATACTTTTATTTTATTAATTACAACAGGAAAAATATAAAGGAAACTAATAATTTTATAAGTATTATATATGAGTTTCTGACAATTCCTTAGCTAATTCTTCAACTTGTAATGCTATTAATTCCTTTTCCAAGTGGTCTACATCGACGTCTTCCAATTTTTCGTCTTCGTCTTCTTCTTCTTCGTCTTCTTCTTCATCTTCACTATCAACTTCTTCAAAATCATCCAAGTCTAAGTCTTCAAAGAATTCTTGTAAACTGTCTAATGCTTCAGAGTCTTCTTCTAACCTGTTCCCGTTCAACTCTAATGTCTTCAAGTTTGGCAAGTTCCCTTTTTCTAATGCAGGTAAAAATGAGGATTCTAAAGTCTCTTGAACCATTTCATTATATTCAAATCTCAATGTTGCTAATTTGCCGAACTTCTTTTCTTTTAAAACTTTGAAGACAGCGTCTGAACCAACACCTTTCAATAAACAATCATTTAAATTCAATTCTTTTAAGGATTCCGACCAGATTGGCAAAGCAGAAGCAAAGATCAAAGAGGCATGCTTAGTGAAAGTGTTATCTTGTAAATCGATGATTTCCAATTTTTTATTATGTTGTAAACCGTAATGGATCAAAGTAGCAACACCTTTTGGTCTTATACCATTTTGGTATAACTTTACAACCTTTAAACCATCACCATGACTCTTCAAACCCAAAGCTAGGTATAAAGAGGAACCATTTTCTAATCTGTTTCTACCACAGATAAAAGTTTCCAACATTGACTCTTTATTTTCTATCTTGTTTTGAGACAACTTAAACAAAGCCTTACCAATTCTTTCACCAGCAAATGGACCCATACCATTGTTACTTAAGATTAAATGTTTCAAATGAACAGCATTTGCAATATAATGTTCTAATTGATCAATAGTTCTTAGACCAAAAGCATTATCAGATAAGTTCAAAATTTCCAATTTTGGACACTTCAACAAAACTGGTAATAAAGCAGTCAAAGATTCAACAACTTCATCAACTAATCTAGAAGTATACAAATCAGCAAAGTTAATTTCTTTGATATTTAATCTTATTGAATCATGGGTATCAATAAATTTTGCTAAAGCTTTGGAAGCTTCAATACCAATAGTGTTACCAGAAAAATCCAACTTTGAACATTTTTCTAATTTAGATAATTCATCAAAATATGGCTTGACATCATCTTCAGAATTCAATTTAAGAGCTTTACCAGCAATTGAATAAACTTCCTTCTCTTCATACACAGGAACAAAATCTAAAGTTGCCATTTTTTAATTTTAATTAACAAGATTCTGCAGTTGTTGGTTCTTCTTCGGATCAATAGAGATTATAAAACAGGAATCAAACAATATCCTCAAATATACAATGACCCAGCAATAGTAATCACTTCCTCTGATCGTATCGAGAGAACTTAATCCAATGTTAGATCAATTTGACATCTCATCAAATTATCAAATTTTTTTCAACTTTTTAAAACCGATGGACCTTTTCATTACACTCAATATTTGAAAACTTGATAATACACAGAAGAGAGACGGCTAATGAAGATAAAGATTATGATGACAGTAATAAAAATAAACAAGAATATTGTATAGAAATAAGCTATTGATATGAAATTGTAACGCTTATTGTCGAAATTTGTTTTATAATTTCAAGGAACTTGTTTGTTGGTTAATACGACAAGTTTTGATGGAATTACATCCCTTGCATGTTTAGTTGATTTTAGTTATATAATATTGAGGTACTGAAGATTGCAATAAGTATTCAGGTAATCTATAAGCCAGTTATAAGTACCGATAAATATTAAAGTGATATTTACTTGTTTAGTATAAATATTACTATCAAATAAATATATACGATTCTCATAAGAGGCAAAGTATCTGTTTCTACCAAATTGTACTATATAGATATGATTGTAAAGGTCGTCAATTGGCAAAGAAAGGATGCGGTCCTTGGACAAACGTATTGGGGTCGGTATTGGACCTTAGAGTTATGATTTGAGTACAAATCTGTTTTGTTTATAAGCATAAGTTGCACTCATCTCGACCAGATGCTTTTAAGACGTTTGTGTCTATCACGTGATCCAGTGGATATCACGTATAAAGATCAAAAAGTTCAGGTATGAAATTAAAGATCTGGTTAAAAGAATAAGAACTGGATCGATGTTTAAATGAATTGAGTCCTGTTGTAAGCTTATATTGGGATCTAAAGGGCACTGTAAGCTAGAAATATTGATGGGGATCTCACAGCACTCGATTCCCGAGGTAAAAGAGCCTTCTATTGGATATGCATTGAGCGAAAGAAAGGCAAAGTTATACCAGGTGAACGATTTGGGTCCACCAGATATGGTGACTATGGTTAAGTATATATCCAAGACTTTATCTCCTAGTTCCTCTCATAATGATGTTAAAGCTTCAAACGGCTTGAACCATGGAGGTGAGAAACTTTTGGGAAATGTAGGTACCTATTTCAGCGTAGTAGGAGTTGATACATCTGATCCATCATCCGTGGCTGTCTTCCTGAAGGATGTTGTTGATTGTATATCTGGCCAACCTCAAAATTGGTATGGAAAATATAAAGATTACAAAGTTTATAAGATATCCCTCTCTTCTTGGAATGCCTTCAAAAATTGCGATATGAATGTTATTATACATTTGCCAGGAACATTGAAAACTTTTGTTGTGGATATTAATGGTAATGAAGCCAACGTAGAAGATAGTGATGATGACTTGGTGAAACAATTATGGATAGAGACTTTTGTAAGTGGAATGGCTCGTTCATTAATGTCAATGAAAGATAATGCTGAAGATGGCGAGGTACAGTCTATCGTAGAGACAATGGTCCTAAACCCTTTAATCACTGGACAAATCAATACATCGGCTGCAACATTTATATCCTTATTTCCAAAAGTCTATGAGGATGGTACAATTTTGGGAGCACCTCCTCATGTACTAAACGTTACGAAAACAAATAATTATTTAGTGGAAACTTTAATTGAAGTGGTGAGGTTGACTGGTAATATAGATATATGTAGAGATATGCTATTGGGGATGAAATATGAGTATCCAGAGATAGACATTGTTTTAATAAAAGTATTACTAGTATCTGATTTAGAAATTGAAGCAATTAGATTAATTCATGATTTCTTATTAACTTTTGATGATATTTTCGAGAGAACTGAAATTATCTATAAATCCGAAGTGCTTGCCATTCAAGCTATTTTTTTGCTAAATAATAAACACGATTATGCATTTGCAAGTGAAATTGCTCAATTAGCAATTGATTACTGTCCTCATGAGTTTATGCCTTGGTATTTATTAACAAAGTCCTTTTTAAAATCGAATGACGTCAAAAATGCGTTGATTACAATGAATTGTGTTCCAATGGAAAATATAAAAGGATAAATATATGTTGAAAAGACTTTTCGGTGCAGTCAGTCAAGAAAGCTTACATTTGCCTCTACCAACTGACGTCAACTTAGAAGGAATTAGCAAATTAGACGCCCAATTAATTCGAGAAGAGCATAAAACTGCAGATGCTTTATTAGTTAGTCTCACCGGCGCAAAATTGAAGCCGATATATCATATGGTCTATGGGTTAATTTCTGAATTGGTTCAAATCTTAGGCTGGGAAACGTTAATAAGGTATAAAGACAAGGTATTTTTAAAAGAGAAACCAATTGAGCCTGAAGTTATAAACAAACAAACTGTTAAAGTTGTTCATAATTCAGACGGATCAAGACAATTATGTCAAGAATGGTTAGAAAATTTATTTCAAGTATTGCATGAAGATATACAGTTTTATATGCTATGGCAAAATGAAGCACAATTACTTAAGGGTAAAAATGAAGAATACGGGAGAAGCACTATTGAATGGGAATTATATGGATTATGTGCACGTCGGCTCGGATACTACCCAGAGGCAGCAATGGCATTTCAAAAGGGCTTATCTCAAAGGTTTTCATCAGGATGCGCAAGAAAATTACTTGAATTATATATTAGGGAAAGCACAAAACTGAGGAATAGTACGACGTCACCAAATGCAGAACTAAAATCATCAATAATTAGAGAGGAAATTGAAAAGATAGATGAATGCATATTATCATTGTGCGTCAAAATAATGTGTTGGAATCATCGTTGGTATATTGAATTTTCCACAAAACTAATTGAATCAATGGGAACAGTCATTCAAGATATGGGCATAACCAAAGTTTCAAACGATATTAAATCAAGTTTCCCAAAATCAGTATACAAACTATCAAAAACAAATTTACTAGATTTCTTTACAAATTTTACAAATAATAAATTTGATGCATGATCACTTACTCCTAGTGTTTTTTTTGTGTTTATCTTTGTATTTTTTATTTTTTGTTTCTTTGTTTCTTTGCTATTATTGAACTATTTTGACATTATAACTTAAGCCTCCTCATCCTCCTCTTTCAGATAGGGAACACATAGACTCAATCTTGGCATTCATATTAATACCAGAACAACAGAAGAAGAAACTATAGAGATTTCTACTAATACACCCAAGTTGATAAGCTAGCATCTTGATGTCTGCTAATATCATGCATTAACTATAACTCATATGTGCCTCGGTAAATTTTATTCTAAATTTAGAATCAAATATTTCTGATCTCTCTCCGTCGTTTCTTTTTCGTTTTTTTTTCGCTTTCGAAACAGAATTACGCAATTAAGCAAAAGTTCCTTTTCTTTTATTATTGAAAAAAGTTTCAGCAGATAGCAAACAGGTATCAAACAAGTCTAAGATTCATTAATTAAAATAATGATTAAAGGTTATTGAATAATCTTTTAGATGAATCTTATCGATATATCGATTATATTTAATGAAATGGTTTTTCTTTGAAAGTGTTAGTAACTACTTTGTTTAACAAGATACTGAAAGATAAAGTAGACAAAATAAAGTTGAGGATAGAACAAAGGTAAGACCTTTATCGATAAAAGTCAAGCTTATATTCTATAATTTATGAATCATTAAAAATGGTTTTGTTATTGACTGTTTTATTACAAGCATTTAACTTTATCACTACAGTTACTGCAATTGATTTAGATGTCAATTCAAAAGATTCAATATGCGCTGCTACTTCCTTGATTCAAGGTGGTATGCTGGATTATTATGAAGGTACTAGATATGGTGGTACTGTTGGTATGTTTCAACCTCCATATTATTGGTGGGAGGCTGGTGAAGCATTTGGAGGTATGATTGAAAATTGGTTCTTATGTCAAAATGACACTTATCATGATATTATCTATGATGCTTTATTGGCTCAAACCGGATCAAATTATGATTATGTTCCTGCTAATCAAACTTTTGTTGAGGTAATGATGATCAAGGTGTTTGGGGGTTGACTGTTATGGATGCTGCAGAACGTAATTTTACTGCTCCTTCTGATGGGAAGCCAGATTGGTTAGCAATGGCCCAGGCGGTTTTCAATACCATGTATGCTAGATGGGATTCTGCTAATTGTGGTGGTGGTTTAAGATGGCAAATTTATACTTGGAACAGTGGTTACAACTATAAGAACACTGTTTCCAATGCTTGTTTATTTCAAATCGCTGCAAGATTAGGTAGATATACTGGGAATGATACTTATCTAGAAGTTGCTGAAAAAGTGTTTGATTGGTTAGTAGATGTAAATTTCGTTGTCTTAAATGATGAAGCTAACGTTTTCGATGGTGCCAATATTACCTCTAATTGTTCAGCTGTTGTTAAACTTGAATGGAGTTATAATCATGGTATTGTTTTAGGTGGGTTGGCTTATATGTATAATGCAACAAACGGTACTAGTAAATGGGAGTCAGGCTTAACTAAGGTTCTAAATGGTGCAAAAAGTATTTTCTTCAAGAATAATATTATGTATGAACAAGCGTGTCAGGACCATAATACTTGTAATACTGATCAACGTTCCTTTAAGAGTATTTTTTCAAGAATGTTAGGTTTAACAAGTGTTCTAGCACCATACACCAGTGATACTATAACTCCTCTAATTCAAGCAAGTGCTGAAGGTGCTGCTAAATCATGTGACGGTGGTACTGATGGTCATACTTGTGGTTTAAATTGGAACCTAGGAACGAATGATGGCAAATATGGTTTAGGTGAACAAATGTGTGCTTTGGAAATTATGTCTAACTTATTGATACTAAATAGACCTGCCCCATATACTATGCATAATGGTGGTACATCTGTAGGTGACCCATCTGCTGGTTTAAATGCTACCAGCACCAGTGTTTTATCAAATAATTTAGATATTAAACAAAAAGATCGTGCGGGTGCCGCAATTGTCACAGCAGTGATCTTATTTGTTCTTCTAGGTGGTTCAGTTTGGATGTTGTTCTAATATTTCATTCTGATCTGAAACTTTATGTTTTAATGTGGGGATAGGCATTTCATGGTAATTTAATGTCATTATTATAAAATTAGAATTAGAGACTACATATCTCTTTGCATGAATATTATTAAATATTTCATATCACAATTTAGGTTTATTTTCTATTCTTATTACGATTTCTTGAAGTCGGTTGTGTTTTCTAAGGGTGTTATTCCTTTATATACTATATAGTTTATGTTATATATATTGTCATAATCGAGTAACGCAATACATAAAAGTGTAATATTTTATTTGATTTTTTCTTAATGACGTTTTCTTAACATAACATATCAAATTTTTTGACTTTGTAAATTCTATTGTTCTTGAACCTTCAATATTTGATCAGCCATATCGACAACAATTTCTTCTAAATCTTTAAAAATATAACCCAATAGAGCCTTAGTCTTCTCGTTATGGACACGACCTCCTTGAGGTAACTCGCTATTATCTGCAGGTGCAATCTTGCCCTTCAATTGAGGGAAACGCTTGTTCATAATATTGACAATATTTTGCTTAGTGAATGAAGCATTTGACAAGATCAACCTTTTACCAGTTAACTCATCATTATGTAAAGAACAGACATGAGCTCTTGCTACATCACGTACATCAACATAACTACCAAAAACAGATTTATCAATTTCACTTTCTGTTGGAGCAAACATAGCTTCCTTGATGATTTCACATGAGGAATTCAGTTTACCCTTGGCGTCTTCATCAAATTTCTGAGGACCAAAGACAAAAACTGGGTTGATCGTAGTTAATTTAAAATCAACAATACCTTTATTCTCTTCTAAGAAGTTCCAAGCAGCTTTTTCTGCAAATTTCTTTGAACCTGAATATGCAGCAATCCCATTTTCCTGAGCTTGCTCCCAAGTAGTTGGGTTCCATGATTGTTCTGTTAAAATTGCAGTTGGATTTGTTAAATCCATCATGGCAGCAATTGAAGAAGTTATAACAAATTTCTTCACAGATTTTGGAGCATATTGCTTAATTGATTCAAGGATACCTTTAGTACCATTAACAGCTGGGATTAAGATATCTTTTTCAAAATCATCTGCAGTAAAAGTAACAGGTGAAGCCATATGAATCACATAGTTAATTTCATTAGCATGATTTTTAATTACATGATCAAAAGCAGATAAATTAGCAATATCTTCAACAATTTCAAAAGTTAAATCCTTATTATAATTAAATTGTTTCTCTAACTTAGCAGCCTTTTCCTTTGATCTAACAGTACCAATTACTCTGTAATTTTCCTTTAACAAAAGGTCAATTACATGTAATGCAATGTAACCAGTAGCACCTGTAACTAAAACACTCATCCTGCTATCAAACTAATAGATCGATTGATGTTAATCTGGCAGAGACAATTAATAATTCAATATAAGTTAATATAATTTATAATTTAATTTGAATAAAACTCTATTTATATTAAACTATATCAACTTTCATTGATTAAATAAAGGGATGGTGGGTAGTTAATGATTAATAATCAAATTTCAGTTAGCCTGCACGATCAATAAATTGACAATACCGTCATTAAATCAATTAATAATCAAATAGCAAATAGCAAATATCAAATGCCTTGTTTGGAATTGGATATTTCTTTCTTATTTTTTTTTTGGTGCTTATGGATATTGATGTTTTCTTGTTCTAGTTGTTTTAGTTATCGATAGATACGGATAAGAATAGAATGGAATAGAATGTAATAGAATGGAATAGAATTCATTGTTTAATGGTTTTGACCATATTATAGATTACGGCGATTTTCTTGTTAGTGTAAATGATTGCCTTGCATATTTGTTATTTTGATCCGGTGTTGTTTGTTAATCGAGTTTATTATAGAATAAGTATGTGTTGTTATTTGTGTACATCCATGGAGATTAATTTGAGTTAAAAATATATCTTGTTGCATTGTATACGTTTAAACTCTTTGAGTTCCTTTATTTAGATTAGTTTAGGATTAAATATTGCATATCTTTAATTAAACAAAGTCAAGTCTACTTGTCTAATGTTGTCACTGCAAGAATTGTGATACTCAATGTTTGAATGTCTGTACTTGTGAGATAATATGAAGAATTGTGAAGTATCAGCTGGTTGAGATTCTAAGATAGGTTACATAATTGCTATAATTGTTTTTACTATTATATAATTTGAAAGCTTGCATAAACTTTTATTTGTTTGTTGAATTAAACATCAGAGTGAACAGTTTCTTATGAAGCTGTTTTGTCATGATGTTGAAGACCTTTATTAGAAATATGTTATGCTAAAAAGAAAAGCTGTCGTTCCTTAATATATTAATCATAAGGAACCCAAAAAAAGAAGAAACAAAGCACTCACGGTGGGGGTCGAACCCACAATCTTCTGATTAGAAGTCAGACGCGTTGCCATTACGCCACGCGAGCTTAATTTCTTGAAATATTTAGGATACGAGATTTATTGAAATACCATTTTCCTTGCACATGATTTCCGCATGACCAACTCAAGTCACGTGTGTAATGTTAAATGTAAATTCTTCAAATTAGAGACGTATGTATTATTGTAAAAATGTCAAGAGCTGTAAGCTTTGATGTAAGTAGATAGATATACGTTTGTTGAAATTGTTGATCATTTTTAATAGGTGACATATTTCTTAAATTATATTTCTCCGTGAGGATTTTATATATAATATAAAATAATAATATAAATATGTAAAGGTAATCTTGGAAATCAGATTATCCTAATATTGAGATTAGTGTCCGTATTTATACGTTTAATCTTCGATCCCACAATCTTATAATTACCAATCATTTATTCTATGTCAGAATTATGAGGTAACACGTGATATATACGTATTACGACATTATTCATATAGGATAAAGAAATGTTACTTTACACGAAAGTATTACTGACGCTGAAAACTTTTCCAACACTTTATATAAGAAATGACAAGATCTTAATCGACACTTGTCATGTTAATTATATTCCCATGTGTATATTATATACTTTAATACACCGGATCAATATCAACTTATTAAGAATGTCCTTGGAAATAAATAAAGAATCTATTACTATGAACGATTCGGTAGAAAATACACAACATAATTCTCTACATTCTAACAATTCCTTGCACTCTCACTCAAGTATTTTATTCTATTGGTAATTTACCAATAATATTCTTTTTATTTTGTTTCTAGAATGTTCTACAGTATTGCAAACAATCAATAACCTGATTGTTAGTAATTACCTGATTAGTTATTGTATACCATATTAATAAATTGATTTATGTTACATTATCATAGATATATCTATGACGTCATGAACATCTTATAAAGTAGTCACGTGTGAGTGGAAATAAGGAACATTCTGGAACCTTCTAGGTCAGAACACAATTCCATAATCTTAGTATTGTTAAACAATTATTAATAAGTCCTTTGCACATCACTACTACTGATGTAATTGATTGTTGTCAATTCCTTGGTTATAGTTTATTTTTGTAATCATTAATTAAAATTACTAACTAACATTTCTAATCATAATTGTTAACTAACCTTTCTAATCATAATTAATTATTATGATTGCCAATGATAACCTGACATTAATAATCATATCAATAAACCATTGGATTCGTAATCTTCGATTGTACCTTATCATTGCAATAAATACTTATTGCTTTATAACAATATCCTGTAAACCTACAACTATATTACCTATTTTTTAGGTCACAACATCTCATCTTGTAACAGAGTAGCCTATATAACATAAATAGTTTTATACTATTCAGATGTTAACTTAATTTCTGAGTTATTCATTATAGTAATTTAATTAAGATGATTTTGAAGTTATAACATTTATTTATTTCTCCTTTTAGTCTGATCTTGACTATTTATGATTGCTTTAGCTGGAGTGTTATCTCTAACTAATTTATTTTTGACACTTTTGCCAGATAATATTTCCATTAACCTCTTCAAACTATTAGTGATAGTGAAGTGCAAAGAACTTATTAATAATTGTCTAATAAAACTAAGATTATGGAATTGGATCTAAACATATAAATAGGACATGATATTTTGGAATATCGAAGTATCATCTGTTCAATTTATTATTATATATTTATTTAGTTCAAATATAAGACTCCACAGGGAAATAAATATATACTATTATAACTTCAAAATCATCTTAATTAAATCACTATAATGAATAACTCAGATATTATGTTAGCATCTGAACAATTAATTGTAAAAAGAAGACTAAGGCATAACACAAACTAAAAAGAGCAGAAATATTAATCTAGAAGATAATATTTTACTCTTACGTTTAGAAAGCAAGTTTATAACTATATATTCACATAATTTAAACACTTACCTATTTCTAAATAAAAATCGATAACCCACATTTTAATAGTCAGGACAAATATCTGAGGTATAGTTACTAACCATACTTATTCCTCACGTGATACCTACCCTAAAATCATCTTTTAACGCAATATTCCTAGAACTCTTTTAATAAAAATCGATACATTCACCTTGTACGAAATACAATTGATAGTGACTTAAACTTTATCTCAGAGTATCCAGGATGAAGTCACAACAAAATCATCTAATACGTTAAAAATTACACGTGCATGACAACTCTGACTGGGCTGATATCTTGATCCTAAGCTTTCAACAAATAGAAGCCTTGTTGGCGCAATCGGTAGCGCGTGTGACTCTTAATCACAAGGTTAGGGGTTCGATCCCCCTACAGGGCTTTATTTTTTGCTTCTTATTTATATGAGAATCAAATGAACAATGCAATAAAAAATGAATAATAATATCACCGTCATGGTTTTATTAATGAAGGTTTTTACTTATATTTTGGTATAGTTTATTCTATTAACATCTATATATTAAGCCTATCATAATACTTAATCTAGTGATAGTAATAGGTAAATGATTCTATTTCTACCTTTGTTGAAGTATGAGAATGCAAAATCAAAAAAAATTAAATGAGGGAAGAAAATGTTTGAAATGTCAATTTTATAAATAGCCAAATGGTCATTGTGGCCATATCCTTATTTTTTTTATTATTTTTATCTTATCTTCTTAATATATTGTTTTCATTACCTTTTTGTTTGTTGTATGTGAATGAATGTTTACAACAGGGATGAAACTAGTTGAGTACAAGTGTAAATCAAATTACTAGCTTCCATATATGTTTCATACATTATTTTATAAAAGTCATAAGAGAGAAGTTTCAAACTTTCACTTTATTTTTTCCATATCACTCGATTTCTTCGTCTTCAGAACTAACATCAATTTCGCTTAATTCATCAGTTGATATATCACTTAATTTATCATCTTCATTATTATCATTATCATTACCATATTCTGTATCATGTTCATAACCCATTTCTTCATCTTCTTGTTCTCCATCTACATCTACATCTAAATCCTCGTCTGAAGAATCAGAGTTAGAAGAACCAAAAATTTCGTTATATTTTTCACTTGTTGCATATTTATCAATGTATTCTTTAATTTTCTGTTCATACAAAGTCTTATCATGTAGTTGCAAACCTGCTGCTTCATTATTCAAAGGATCACTTCCATTTGGTTCTTTCAACAATCCAGGTATCATCCATTCTACAATATTCAACAAATCATATAATGGGGACCAAGTAGAGTTGATGACATCCAAACAAATTGAACCAGAAGCAATATCAATGTTTGGATGGAAAATTTTATTAACAAATCCGATACTTGGAGATTTATAAGGATAATTGTCAGGTAATTCTACATGCAGCCTCCAACATCCATTCTCATAAGGAGTATCTTTTGGCCCACAAAATTTGACATAGAATTCTTGCATGTTATCATTTACCAATTCTACATCGTGATCACTCATGAGAAGTTTCATGACATCGGTTTCAATTCTTCTTTTTGAATTCCCACTAAACAAAACATATAATTTATTCAATCAATCGAAATAATAGTTAGTAAGGTATTTCAACATAAAAACTTATCAGAGTCCCCATATATATATGTAGCCCTTTAAATAAAACCCCACACAAAAAAATAAAAGCGTGGACTTCAAATCAAACCGGATCAAAAAATATGTAGCTTTAAAAGCATGTATTCACAGAACAAATCAATTGACCCAATAACCAATAGTACATACCTCATCGATATTAAGTATTATATAATAAAAGTTTCTCAGTTACGCAATCAGAAATAAATAATATTTTATTCTATCTTGACCAAAAATGAAGCAAAAATAAAACAAAAATAAAATCAGATAAACTACAACAATAGATTTCAGAAAACCCAAGCTCACTTTCACAGTTCCTGTTGCTGTTATTCTATAAACAACTTTAAACTTAAACTTTAATGGTTCTAAAATAGTAACTATCTCTTATTTTAATAGTTTAAACTGGTGAGTAATCCAAATTTAAGGTGGGAAGTTTAGCTATGATATGGGGACAAAATGTAAGGCAGGGTAATTTAATTTTGATCGATATACCAACTTGCTATATAAAGCATCGAGTTGAGAAGAGATGTGATGGAACTATTCTCAAAAGACTATCGTTCTTCTGGGAATGCTATTTAATATATCTCTTAGAGTGATTGTTCTGGTATTTCCCTTCTTTTGGTGGATATTGCTTAACAAGATCATATTTTTATCAATATGAAGGTGAAAATTCATGACAATAATAGTAATGATGATGATGATGATGATACAATTACTTTTAAATATTTTATTTAATACTATTTATACTTTTGATATTTTTGATCTATTATTACATGATATGGACTGTGGTTTCCTTACCCAACTATACTCGTTCTACATGGGTGACGCCAAGATAGTTTTGTAAAGCCGAGTGCTTCATCAATAAAGCATACATCTCCTAACCTATTGCGATCTCTTTTTTGGTTCAAACACAAGTGAATAATTATCCTTCATCAAATGAAGGAACAGGTTAATCGCTCTCTTTTTTTAGGGCCTCTATTTGCTCTTTCATAGATTGCAATGTCCTTTCTTGTCTCTTGTCGTTGACTATGGCTCCATGTTTCTCTGAATCATCCAACAACTGAAACAATTCACACATATTCTCACGATATGATAGGAGCTGATACGCCGATAATGACCTTAACGTAATGTTATTGTATATCTTAACTGCTGTATTTTCATTCATATTACTATATTTCAATGTTTATCGACCAGTATACAGATATATATGAATATTAAACCTAATTCTAACCAGCTAAAGTTATTTTAAACAAAAGAGTGTAATACAACAAAACCCACTCACACTTGAAAACTAGTACCAGCAATTATTTATCCCACTTTTTAGATACCTGTTTGTATACTTTTGTTTTTTCAAACTCTTCACCTTGTTCTACTTTCCATATTACATTTTCTAATATTTAAATATTTGATGGGAACGCTTCTTAATGAAGTATTGAAATATTTCAACTATATTAAGATATAACCAAGAATCAAGAGGAGGTTTAATATTTATAAGACAAGCATATAAAGGTCAATTGGTCTAATATTGTGGTATTACAGTTTACAATTGTTGTGTTTATTTATTTCATAGATTTTAGTTTGATTTGGACTGATTTGTTTTGGCAAGAAGACGTATAAAGATAATGGAAAAATTGGGTTTACATGACTTTATAGGTTCTACTTTATATGTATCAATTGATGATAATAGGTATATCAAAGGTACTTTGGTTGCGTTAGATTCCCAATTGAACTTACTTATGAACCACGTTCGTGAACAGAATGGCGAGGGTTCTAACTTAGTCCAAAGGGCAATGGGTTTAGTCAGTATTCCTCAGAGTACTATTAAATCGATAAAAATCACTGAAGATGAATTAAATAACATTGTTGAGTTCAAACACAATTTTATAAAATCAATTGTTTGAGTTTAATGAAATTTTTGTTACATGAATATCTTTTTGATACGGTTTTCTTCATATTACAAATTTAAGTTCTAATAGTTACCTAGTCATAATAAACGCATTAATAGAGATCATTTGACTCCTTTCCATTAAAAAACATATAAATACTACAAGGGATATTATTTTTGATATCTCTTTTCAATAACTTGGTTTTGAGTTCAACATTTATTAGTTGTATCGAAATATGTTAAACATAAAATTTAACATACCAAGAGGTAACTATAACAATGACAACTACTACTGATTTATTATTGAAAAACAATCAAGAATTATTTAAAAAAGCTAGCCAACATCAATTGACTAATGAGTGGTGTTTGGGTACTTTAAGTGATCGTGCTTTATACATTTATTTGGCTCAAGATCTAATGTTTTTTGAAGATTCCTTTAGATTAATTTGTAAAACCACTTCCTTAGCTCCAGATGCTGATAGTATGATGACTTTGGGTAGAAAAATCGGATTCTTTGCTAGTGATGAAAATACTTATTTTAGAGACTGTTTAAAATTACTTGCCCCAAGTGTCACTGAAGAAGAAAGAAAAAAGTTCACGAAAGTGCCATTGAAGGAAGTCTCAAGATACTTGGATTCCATTAACGAAAAATTCAATGACAAAACCTCTAAATACACTTATCCAGCTTTGATTACTTCATTATGGTGTGCAGAATTAGTCTATTTGAAGTGGGCAAGAGATTCACCAAGAGCTGAAAACTTGCACTGGAAATACCAAACATGGATCGATTTACATGACGGTGAACATTTTGAAACCTGGTGTAAGTTTTTAGAAGAGGAAGTCAACAAATACTCGATCGAAGAAGTTCAAGAAGCTTTTGCAAAAACTTTACAATTAGAATACGAATTCTTCCAAAGTTGTTATGAAGCATAGTTTTTAATTATTTATTGTTCATATATTTTTCTATAGACAACCGATGCATCTTGTGATAGGTTGAACGATTTTATATATATTTCTAACCTTTCATAAAAGGTTAATCCGTTCCATTTATCAGAATTGATATCATATTTGGGTATTCCAAGTTCTTCGATGATGCATCCAGCTGCTACATTACCACAGATACTGGCAATATGGATATCATTAGTTAATACATATCCAATTGCAAACCCACCTAAGAATGAATTGCCACCTCCAGTTGGATCGATTACTCTGTCACTTGTATTGCAGTGATAGGCTGGATAGTGGATGATGTCACGCCGATTGTCTATCTGTTCAGTTAATACCAAACTTCCAAGTTTACCACACCTTAAAATACATATGCTACTAGGTTTTAGAATTCCACCAAACTTTTTTATCAATATTTTACACTCATCTATATATTTAGGCTCTCTTACATTGAATAATCTTGCTCCTTCTTCAGCATTAGGTGATATAAAGATCAGTTCATCTCTATTTAAGATCGAGATATATCGATCAAGGTTTTCGTGAATGCAATCACTTGGTAATGGTTCCCATATAATTAAATTGTTAGCATCATTTGGTAATTCCTTCAGAATTGACAATGTTCTGTCCCCTGAGGAAACTAAATGTATACATTTTGCAGCTTGAAGATTAGTTTGGCCAAATAATTCAATCCAATCTGAGACACTGATTTGTCTCTTCTCCGTAACGTATTTAAAATCTCTTAGATCATTCAACCTATACTCATTGAGACCTCTTGTTGTTCTTCTTGAAGAGTCTTTTCTAAAGGTGACACCAGTTCCAAAACCTTTAATTTGGGCTGTCAATTCGTCTGGGAAGTCAAAACCTTGATCAACAATCCACTTAATTCTCCTTTTAACTTCCTGTGAAGGGGATACAATAACTGCCCCTATCGCTGCATATGTGCCACCACCACCAGGGATATTAGTATATCTATCACCATTATTTTTTATAATATCATCAATGATGAACATACCATTGGTAGTCAACAAAATGTCATCTTTATCCATAGTGGCCGTCAAAGAACTCCGTTACTATAAATTGTATTAATACCAATCTTCCAGATCAAATATATCAACTACATATATCCCCTGGTCTTATAATCCAAGTTAAGTTGTTGTTGTCAATTGTCAACTTAACTTATTTGAAATTTCTACATTTATTTCAGGGAAGGAGTACCTTTAAAATTATATTAAAGTCTTTGAAATGCTTGTTGTCGATGAGATAAATCTGGATTGAAAAATGTCAGTATTATACCACCTAATCTGGCGAGTTATGGTTGATTGAAATCATAAATGATATTTATGAGTTGTATTAAATAAAACAAAGTAAAGTTTATGAATTATTATCATTGAAATTTATTCTATTTATTTACACGGAATGTACATACATATATGCTAGTCATTTGATAACCATTATAGCTCTAGCAATATGATTAAATGAATATCTTATTAAACATGGAGGAAATGAAAATGTCTTGTGTCTCTCTTCAAACTACAGATCTTTTTGAAATATGTGAGCCAAGTTAATTGTTTTCTGTGGGGCATCTTCTGGACGGTTCCATTCTTCAGGAAACTTGTAATTGTGTTTTTTCTTACGTAACATTTTAGCAGTTGTATGTCTTGTATCTAATGGAACATCACTGAAGTCATCTTTAGATATATCTTTAGCTTCTTTTAGAAGCTTTTGTAGTACATCATTCAAATAACGAGCATTTTGTGAAGCCTCTGGAAATCTTTCAGTTGACATTTTAAAAACATCAGTAATATGATCGTATCTAGTTTTTGCCAATAGACGGAACTTATGTAATTGCTTACTGTTCAAACCTAGGCTACTTGAATTGACTCTTAAAACAACCTTCTTTTCAGCAGGATGCTCTTCACCAATATAAGTGGTATAACGATAAGTAACTGGAAATTGCTTTTTAGAAGGAGGTTTATATTCTTGACGGAATTGTGCCAATAAAGGTAATTCATATGCAGCTAACCTATTGTAAAATCTTTGCTCTCTATGTTGGTCAACAAGATCCTGAGCTGGAGAAGGCAATTCATCATATTCGAAAGGTTGAATTACTTCATCTGAATTCCCTTCACCACCATTGATATCAATAGCAGCTTGTTCACCTTTATAATACAAATTCTTGATATTCCCTGGAGAAACACCAGTATGTTCAGAAGTGGAAATCAATGCATCTAATTCTTCTTTACATGGTTTATATTCAGATCCCAGTTTTACCATTCTTTCTTTATACAAACTAAAAATAGTTTCAGCAGGTAACCCTTTCCATTTAGCAGGTTCAGTATACAAAGGCAAATTATTAAGTGACTTTGGAGTCCTCTTAAGAGCTTTAGAAGCACTACCAATGTGACGTACTGTTATTCTACTGAACATCTTTCCAACTTTAGTTTTCTTCAAATTTATTAACTCTTGTTGAATTGCAAATAATTCAATAGAAACACTTCAAAATCAAACCAGAACAAATTTCTACAATCAAACACAAACTGCAGACCCTCAATAATATTCTATTGACACCTTGTTGACCATATGGACCACTTATTTTAACTACAATTCACCTTAAATCTGTTATCTTTAATGGTGTTTCTTAAATATTTTTCCAATTTATCAAACCGTTCAATGATCAAATTTCAGCAATAAATTTCGATATACCTCGTAAATGATGATATTGAATTTTATTTTGGAAACTAGAATATCAATCATAAGCAAAATATAAAAATGAGGCAAAACAAGGCCATAATCAAAGACAATAACTAGTCAATAGAAGATGATTGAGTAGGTCTATTGATAAAATAGCATCAGTTATTGATTATTTTTTGTAGTGAGAGTTCTAGTTCTTTTTGTTCCGGTTTTATTTCCTGTTGTTCCAACTCTGTTTCAATTTTTATTTGTTTAAATTTTTGATTGAAAGTAATTTAATCATATTGCATCTCATCTAAAAGTTGGTATAATTAGGCAAGATGGGAAGATTAGGAAAGCGTGGTAAGGCTCCATTAACTCCGTTTCATGAACGTTTATCTACCCCATCCTCGATTTTGTCGTCAGTTTTGAATACTTTGGAGTTATCTTATGATACCAGTACAAACACCTTAACAGGTACATCAGTTGAGAAAATACCTGAAAAGAAGACTTTGATAGAACTACAGAAACAGTTGGATAATTTATATGATGTATTGGAAAATGTTTCGAATGTGGATAACCGTTATATACAGAGATTTAAAAATATAGATGAAAGACGTAATAAAGAAACATTGGAAAACCAAGAAGAGGAGGATAAAGAGAACAAGGGAAAACAAGAAGAGGAGAGTGTGAAAAGTGAAGAACCGGTTGGAGAACTAATAGAAAATGAATCAAAGGAAAATGAGAAACAAGAGTCTTTGGAGAATTCAGCAGATGAGGTAGAGCCAGAGAAGGAAAAAATTGATTCTGATAATGCACCTGTCACTCCTATACAAGAAGTCGAAAATGGTCGAAGTGGAAAAAGAAGTAGAAGATAAATCTACCACTGAAGGAAAACCAGACAAAATAGTATCAGATACTGAAAAGAGCATATTGAAGATTTAAACGAAGAAAAGAAAAAGAGGCCATTGGAAAATGAGGAAGGTGATGAGGAAAACTGATAAAAAACCTAAGAAACAAAATTTAAATCGGTTACTATTTTTGAAGAGAATGAAAACCAAGGAAGAGGAAAATAAAAAACCAAGGAAACTTTGATGGAATGAAAGGAAATGATCCCCTTGGAAAAAACCAAACTTGAATTGGATTTCCAAACTTTACCGCTGTTGTGCCAAATAGAGTTGTTTAAAAAAAGATTTGAAAAACTGGGAAAATTTTTAAATTAAAAACGGTTGAGGTTTCTCCGAAGATCTAAAGATCTCCGGGGTTTCTCAATGGACTTCCGGCCTAACACCAAAAAAAAATTTTACTCTGTTGCAGGTGAACCTTGTGGATCCCAAGAAATTATTTTGAGCGAAATATTCCCAAACAAGCGGAAATTTCCGGGTGCCACTGTTTAATGGCTCTACACGGTGTAAAG